AACCCCAAAACATCTGGTCCTCCTGAGGTACAGAAAACCACAGCCTGAAATGATACATGGCAAAATGAGCTGGTTTCTGGTAGTTTGAATTGGAAAGTGATGTGCGTGTCGAATATCAAAATAAACAATGGTATCAAACACAGTACTCATGAAATAGCATCTCTCCATTCTTTTCATGGCCTCTTTGTGGATATTTTACATGTTTTAATTAATGTATATCCCACCTATTTTTTTACAAATAAGTCAACATGCCAACATATCCAACATGCCTTCTTCCTCCTATTTTTCCCACAACAACACCTCCGTGAGATGGGTTGGAAGAGAATAACTGGCCCAAAGTCATCTAGCTGGCTTTCAGGGCTAAGGCAAGACTAGAACTCAAAATCTCCTGCTTTCTAACCTGGTTCCTTAACTTCTAGACCAAACTGGTTCTCAGTGATATATCCATCTTGTGATAGCCATTTAATGTGGTTGTGTTCTTGTGGCTTCCACCTTTTTTTTTTTTTCATTTTCTTCTGCCTTCATGATTTAAGCTCATGAAATGTTTTCACCCTTTCTTGCATCAGTAAGTATCCTCCTGATGTTTCTATCACATGCATATAACCATTATGTAGAAACATACATGCCCTTGTTGGATTTGATAAAGTCCAGCTTTTGAAACCTAAGTTGCTTTTGACTGTGGTGTTTGTCCATCTCATCCAACAGAGTCAAGACTAATGATTAGCCAATCCTCAAAGTTAGAATTAGGAGTTTTATTTATATATTTTATTTGCTTGACAAACATGTAGAAGATAACAAGTCTGAACGTAAACAAGAACAAAGGGAGTAAATACAGATAAATTGGGGATAGTAAGCCAGGAACGGTAGGCATGCTGGTGTGCTAATGCAAACCCTCTTTAAGGACTCTTAGGAATGGAGTGAGGTCCATGGTAGACAGTTTGAGGTTGAAGTCAGGGGTGGGAATCAAATTTTTAGCAACTGGTTCTGTGGGCATGGCTTAGTTGGTGGGCATGGCTTGGTGGTCATGTGACTGACTGGACGTGGCTTGGTGGTCATGTGAATGGCTGGGCGTGGCCAATTCAACATCACTCCCATCCAGGGGCACTTCTCTTTGCCTGGCCTCTCGTGACTGTGGGGATGCTGCAATGGTCGTAAGTGTGAAAAATGGTCAGAAGTCACTTTTTCAGTGCAATTGTAACTTTGAATGGTCACTAAATGAACTGTTGTAAGTCAAGGATTACCTGTACAAAAATACAAAAAGCTTTGCTTGCAAAAAGCTGCCCTAAATACCAATCATTAGGTTAAAAATACCTGCAAGCTGGAGTTACAAATCAGGCAGGGTGCTAGAGCACCTGGAGGAATTAAATTGGCAAAATGCAATGATAAGAAAGAGCATACCCAGGAGAAGCAATCCTTAGATCCATTTGCAACACTTAAAGACACCAGCTGGTCTCACTCACCTCACAAAATATCCTGAGGAAATCATCCAGATTTAAGGAAAGATCACATGCCCCCCAGAAAGGCAGTAAAAAATCAGTGCCAAGCTTGCATCCTTCCTCTTGGAAGTACACCCCAAAAGGACAGTGCCAGATACCACTAAAGCAGTGAAGGAAGACCCCCACCCCACCCCAGATAGAAAAAGAAAACATGAGGCAGAAAAAAATTCAGACGCAATACAAATAATTAAATCACAACAGTAGCTGTTGCTTGTTAAACCAATTATCAGAACAAATAGACACAGGAACTAGCCAGATTTCTCAACCCAGTTTCTTTTCAGGAAGAGAGATTAACGTTTTTCCTTCCAAACAAAGCTGAATAGGGAAAATTATCCCATCAATAAACACAGGATTAAATATCATCAAGCACAGAATTAAACTTCACCAAAAACCAGTTTTAGATCAAAACTCAGAAAGGGTATGTAAACTCACATTTGAATGTCAATCTTTCTAGCTAGCCAAGAAGTCTTGCTGAATGTCACTCATCTTGGTTCCTTGTCATTAAAAGCTTCTTTCCGGCAGCTCTGCTTCATTATTCCATTATTTCTTCAAAGTGCTAACGCCAACAGGGGAGTATTTCCTTCCAAGAGCAGTGTAAAAAGCTTAAAACAACCCTTCCCCTTTAAGAAAGTCAATCTGTCAGGTTTCCAAGTGAAATGGCTACACATGTGTGAATTTTGGGCTCCACACAAGCAAAGCACCAGCAAAGGAGAGAGAAAAAAACTCCAGAGAAGCTCCGGAGGCAGGAAGTCTCGTCCTGCCAAGAATGTAATGAGGGTTAATGGAGAGGCAGTTTCTGTAAGCAACACCAGAATGTTTCCTTCCTGCCTTCCTTACAGGATTAGGCCAGTAATGTCTTCTAACAACTGGTTCTCCGAACTGCTTAGAAAGTTAAGAACCGGTTCTAGCAAATAGATGCAAACCGGTAGAATCCAATCCCTTGGTATTCTGTTGCAGGTTTCCAACTCATATATACCCGGTTGCTAGGTAAAAATAAACATTTTACTCAGGGCAAATAAACAATTTACTCAAGATAATGGCAGGCAAGGAAGGAAACAAAACAGAATCTTTGAAAAAAGAAAGTTGCCCGAGAGATTTTGCTTTCAATTGGAACACACAGAAAGTAGTCAACATGCATTCCAAAGTTCAGAGAGCCAAGTCAGGATTGTGTAACGTCAACGCCCTTGTGTTTTCTTCACTTAAATAATTCTGAATTACAGAGACTGAAAAAAATTGAATCCATTTGGAGAGAGAGAAAAATAGAATCAATTACATTATCACAAAATAATAAGTAAGCTTTTAAATTCTGTAGAACCCTTCATCAGACCAGGTGGGAAGTAAAATCAGAGGCAGAAAACAGAGAAAGGAGCAGAAAAAGTAATCCATCCGTTTCCTACAATTTGGGACAGCTATTGCTAATCAAATTTAGCTGGAGAGATTGAGAGATTTGACATCATGCAATAAGGGTGTTTTTTGAGGAGGCGGGTAAAAAAAAAAACTGAAAAGAGGATATGACAGTGAGAGTTGACATCCATCACTTTGTAGAAAGGAAGAATAATCTTTATCTCTTTCCCACATGGCCACTAAGTGCTCTGTTTAAGAGGTTAATGATTTCCTAACTGGTTTAAAAGGTTGCAACAAGTCAATTCATGTTTTGAGTGAGAAGGTACATTTCTGTATAATTAGATTAACAGCCTTAAATCTCATCTGTGATGCCCTATCACTAGTTCTCACCATGGTGGGATTCAAAAAAAATTTATTACTGGTTTTGTGGGTGTAGCTTGGTGGGTGTGGTGTGACTTGGTGGGCGTGGCAGGGGAAGGATTCTGTAAAATCCCCATTCCCTCCCCACCCCACTAACCTGCTTTCCAGCTCTGTTCTCCTGGGCAAGGCAACAAAAGGAGACCCAGCCGATCAGCTGGGACTCGGGAGGCAGAGAATAGATGGGGGCAGGGCCAGTCAGAGGCGAGATTTGCTGGTTCTCCGAACTTCTCAAAATTTTTGCTATTGGTTCTCCAGAACTGGTCAGAACCTGCTGAATACCACCTCTGGTTCTCACCTATCATTGTTATTTTAACCATTTAGTCGGGTCTGACTCTTGGCGACTTTATAGACAAGTGCTCTCCATCCCACCCTGTCAAGCACAACTTCTTCCAGTTGTTGGAGGTTCATCTTTAGATCAGCTTCAATGTTATCAAGCCAGTGTGTTCTTTTGCTCGTCCCTTCTTCTTGTTCCATTAATCATTCCTAGCATCATTGCCTTCTCCAATGAATTTGCATGCATGACATGGCCAAAGTAAATCAGACGTAGTAGTCATTATAGTATCATTGTAGTATCTGTAATATTTGCTATAGGGTTATTATACATCTTGGAAACAAACACAGCAATGTTTTACACATTATGGGGGGAATTTTAGATATTGCAGTCATTAACCTAGATGGAGCAGTATATCCAACACTGTTTTTGGCTAATGTTAATTGATTTCGAAGTTTCCTTTTTACAGAAAAAAGCCTATTAAGTAACCATGCAGGGTGTATCAACAAGCCACTGTTTTTAAGATGTAAAATGAATGGCCCTTGTTTTAAAAAAAACAGCAATGTCTCTAATGAAACAGATTTGATGCCAGAAAGACTTTATACTTGAACACATGAACATTGAATTAAAGGACAGATTGATTTCACAACTTGAAAACTATGTAGTCAGTTTTGCAATACCACGTAACAGAGATGGTGCTGAAATCATTCTAGTATTATCTAGCCTTAAATTAATAAGGTTTTCTATTAAAAATAGTCTTTATTTGTAGTGTTAGAAAGCCCAGATCCTTATAAGAATCTTGATAAGGAATGAATGAATCACAAAATCATAGAATTATAAGGAATTGTAGAAGGGGTCTTCTACTCTAAAGTCTTTGACATTTTCAATAATACTACTAATGCCTATTTGGGTTTAGATATTAAAATTAAAACAGTAGCCCCAGAAAGTATTTTCGATTTTATTAAAATCAACTGGATTCTTCATTCAAAAAAAGACAAAAAACCATCATGCAAGATGTCTCACAATAGCCTTCAAAATGGAGTTTTCTTAACAAATTAAATTAATGGCATAAAATTTGCAATGCTGAAGTTTATAACAAAACATGCAATGTAAAGACAGAATAACAGAATAATAAAGTTGGAAGGGACCTCGAAGTTCTTCTAGTCCAAGCCCCTGCAAGAAATCCTATACTATTTCAGACAAATGGCTGTCCAATCTCTTTTTGAAAGCCTCCAATGATGGATCATCCACAACTTCTGGAGGCAAGCCATTCCACTGGTTGATTGTTATCACTATCAGGAAATTTCTCCTTCATTCTGGTTCTCTCCTTGATTAGTTTCCAACAGTTGCTTCTTGTCCTGCCTTTGGGTGCTTTGGAAAATAGGTTGACCCCCTCTTCCTTATGGTAGTCCCATAGATATTGGAACACTTCTATCATGGCACCCCTGGTCCTTCTTTTCAAATCTTTTTTTGTGGCAGACCCTTAGATATTGGAGCACTGCTATCATGTCATTCCTAATCCTTCCTTTTCATTAAACTAGACATACCCAATTCCAGGAAACCATTCTACATAAGTTTTAAGACAACAAAACAAATGGCAACATTATGAATTGAATGTTGAATTAACACATTTGAACCAACACATTTAAAACATTAAAGTAAAAGGATTTGTCCAGTACGGGAAGAAACTAAGCACTTAGTAGGAATGATGTGGATTCAAAGAAAGATATACTGGCTGGCCCAGAATATGGCAGCATAAAATAAAGTGGAGAGATCTTACATTACCTTCAATATGAAACAGCTTTACTGAAACCATTCAAGCTTTCACATTATATGAAATCATATGCATTTATGCTGCTGCCAGCACCATCGACTCCCATACAGTCCATCCCATCTCATGCCCTCATTTATGCATCAATAAGGCACCTTGGACAGGTCCAACAACTATTTGGTAACGCAAATGCCCGCTTTGGCTTTCTCTACAGCAAAAGCATCCTTGTGGAACAAAGTGCTCTTAGAACTGAAACAAGCCACTTCAATCTGGCTCCTCATTTTTACCAACCTCGGAAGGAGGGAAGGCTGAGTCAACCTTAAGCCAGTCAGGATCGAACTCCTGGCAGTGGGCAGAGTTTGCTTGCAAAACTGCATCCTACCCACCGCACCACCAGCGCTTGTTCTTAAGTTGTTTGATTTATATCATAAGCAGTATAATATTAGAGCATATGCTGATAAGAGGCTGCATGCTTTTATGACCCATTTTTGAAGAAAAAACTGTACAAATTGAATCTTTTCCCCTTTAGCCGTGCTTTCCCACTTCATAAAACTTTAAATTATTTAATTATGACACACTCTCCTTTCCTCAATATGGGAACACAGAGCTATCCTATCCTCTTTTTAAAAGCAGCAACTAATTCTTTCTGAGGACATGTATCCTTCATATCAAAATTATCTCAGACAGAGCAAGGTGCCAAAAATAAAATTCAGAATTTACTGCCTTAAAAAAAAACTTTCAGGGAAAATTCACACATGGCACAGACAAGATTGTAACCTCCTTTTGGAGTTAAACATATCAAAGGATTTGAAGCTACAGTGTTTTGTAACCAAGCAGACAATTCATAAACAACATATACTTCAATCCCAAAGAACGGGGGCCACATATTTCAGTGCATATTAAGTTTATGGAACCTCCTTTCAAATGCTGACGAATATATGGGTTTAACTTGGAGAACTATATTTCTTTACAATCTGATTAGTCTGAAGCAGCTGGGTGATCTTTACTAATTATATGAACTTGATTCAAGAGCTTCAAGAGTGCATTTGGATTGTATGGGAAGAGACTTTTTGCATGTAGCCTAGAAACTGACATTTGCAATTGTTGGAAACATGCAGTTGCTTTCTGGAAAGTTTCATCTGCTAATTTAAATTCTATGGGGGATAGTTTGCTGCAGGAGTCTGATGAAATATTCAAATCTTGCTCAATGAAAGGTAGCACTTCTTGCTTGGAGGAATTTGCATTCTCATCAAGAACTGCTTTATTTGTACAGGCTCGATGGTTCAAAGCTTCTTGTCTTGTGTCTGTCAAACATTCTTCTCTTACGCATTCCACATCAGAATCTTCTGAGCTATCATAATCAACCAGCTTCTGAAAAGCCCCCGATAAATGTGCTTCGCTAGATGCTGTTGCAAAATCGGACTTGTTGGGCTGCATGGCTTGACTGTCTCTTTGATGGAGGGTAGACAAATTCAGGGAGGAAGGCAAAAGGGCCTCTGTACAGGCCTGTGTATCATACGTAGTGCTCTGCCCAGTGAGATCAGAGTTGGGGACCTCTTTCTGCCGGCAAGGCAAGTTCTCTTCCCAAAATCTGAGATCTTTGCCAACGGCGAACTTAAAGCATTTGGAAACTTGGATGAATTGGGGCCAATCTTCCACAAGAAGTTTTAAATATTGTACAAAGTATTCCAAGAAGCAGGTTTCTGATGAAATCAAGAAATCCAGAAGAACCGTGGCATCAAATGCAACACTCCCTAACAGACATAAGAAGATGCAGTGGGGATTATAGCCACTCTGGTGTGTCCGATTGTCCTGGGTTCCATCATCTAAATGGCAGAGGGTAAAATTAGCATCATGGCAGAACCTAAAAAATAAGCAAGAACATAGAAGATTAAATTATCGTTTTATCAAGAACTCTTAACGATAGAGCTGAATTTACATTTATTATTTTTGGCCAAGTAAATCGGACTATTACAATGATCATGGTGCTCAAGCATTCTCTCCCACTGTGTGCTCTAATTCAATGCACATTAAAGGAATAAAATTGAACAAAGTGGACAAGTGAAGAAAGAAAGCTAGCTTGTTTTCACCTCCATCAACTGTAATTTGATATTAACTTATGAAATGGAAAAGAAAGGCATCAGTAAGTAGTAATTACTAATTAGGAGAACTTGATCATTCTGTGAGTCTTCATGTGGACACCAAGTATGGTTTAAATATACTTAAATAAACAACAAATATTTGCTTCCATTTGTGAAATAACAAACCATTGGAGAATGATATTTTGTAGTGTATAACTGAAATAAAGTAAAGGGAGAAAAAGCTTAGTTTAGGGGGGACAAACTATGCTTTATCCAGGTTTTCTTCAGGTAAAATTTTTGAATAGCACTCTGTATGCAATGATCTTCCATATCCTGCATAAGGAAATCCAAACATGAGCCAGTATAAAGTAACTAGGGGCAAGTAAGATGTTTCAGACAACTGGCATAAACAGAATGGCAATGGATTATAGGACTTCCAAGATACCTTGAACACAGAATAATAGGGTTGGAAGGAACCTCAGAGATCTTCTAGTCCAACTCTCTGCTCAATCAGTAGACACTATATTTTTCTGGACAAATGGCTATCCAGTCTCTTTTTGAAAACTTCCAATTTTGGAGCATTCACAACTTCCGGAGGTAAGCCATTCCACTAATTAATTGTTCTCACTGGGGGGAAATGTCTCCTTAGTTCTACGTTGGAAAAACCCTGAAAAGATCACATATTATATAAATAATGGAAATCTCTGATAAAAAAAAACACTGGTATTCGGTTCAAAGCACATGTTTGGAACCTACATCCTAAACACTCTTGCCTCTTCCCTTCAGAAAGGGAAATGAACTGAATTCACGACAAAGCTGAAGAACTATGTCAAAATTTAAGAATACAATTCTCTCTGTTTCATTGAGAGTAATTAATGGACCAGGAGATTACTTTACTGAACTCCCTGTCGAGGTTTCTATGGTCTTATTTAAAGAAGAGGTGCATATTTGCTTATCACATTTATGATACGGAAGAATCCTGTACTGCTTCTTTGTAATGCTTGTCAAATTCTTGTATATGGAAAAGAAACTCTAGATAATGCCTGATTCTAAATGCGAACATTATTCATATACAATCATATTTGAGAGGGAGAAGTAAGCTTGTTAGATTTGTCCCAGGAACTGAAGGAATTGGGAACAATTTTGTCTTAGAAGGAGTGATACGCTGGAAGCAAAATGAAACGGAATGAATGAGTGTTTCAATTTGAACACTGTTGCCTGAACTGTGTGTTCACTTTCAAGATATTTATGACGATTGATAATTTTTAGCAAATACAAGTTGATGGCTTCTGGAAAAAAGGACACTAACCTTTCCAAGTTTAAATAAATTGCCAGTAATGATTTTACAGCTTCTACCATCTCATCATCTTGTTCTATAAACAGTGAAATCCACATGCAAGGGTGTTCAAATAAGCAGATACTGGCAGAAGGTTTCAGGTGGCTTTTTAAGACTGTTATGAGTAGATCCATAACTCTCTCCAAATGAGCTAAAATGAAGGAGAAGGAAAAAAAATCAATGGCAGGCCAAAATCATATACAAATATATTTGCTCTTGACAAAAAATTACAATATTTTGAGGAACAACAATTTTTTTAGCACTACCTGTTCTAATGAATCGTTTTAAAGGGAATGAAAAGGAAAAACAATAGTAAAAATTCCATTTTGTAAGGAAGTCATTTCCGAAACCTACAGGTGACCAAGAGTGACAATATCTTGCTTGTCAACATCTTTTAAATCTAAAACCTTCAAATCCCTTTTTTAAATACCAGCAAACGCTATGGGTACTGACTTAAGGACTTAAGTGAAATGATGCTATGTTTGGGCTTGCGGGAAAAAGGATCCACTTTCAAATTCAACGTGGCAAAAACTTTCTGCTCATGAAACAGATTAAAAATATTCACGCCTACAGCTTCCATAATCCAGAAAACTGATCCTGTGTACATATAATTATCCACTCTATTAAAACCTCTTCACTTTAGCTGAGCCCAATAATTTTTTATGGACTGTATATTGAGACTTCTGGGAGTGGAACTTCTTAATGAAGTTAGAGACACAATCAAACTGAATTTCAAATGACACATCACACTGAACATCTTCATTCTCTGGAGAGCCTTTGGATTACAACACCTGCTCAAGTTAAACACAATCCTCCCACATCTTGTACAATGTAACTTTGCTATAGACACCTCAATGCCACGATGGGAATATTCTGAAGCAACGTTTTACTAAAATGCCAAATGAATAAACCACCGGCATCTTCTCTTAAAAGTAATTTATTTCTCCAGTGTCTGCAAAACCAAAATTTGCACACCCATTCTGCAGTCAGTTCTTTCTGTACACCTTTACGATATGATCCTCTAAGTCTATTATACGCTGTTAAAAGAAAACACCATCTTTAAATATTTTCTTATTTTATTACTTGGTTTTCTGTCGTTGCTTAGATTCTCTAGGCAGTGAAAGGCAATCAACTTTAAAGCTTTCATTAATCCATAACCTGGTAGCTAAAGCTTGTAGGTTAAGTTATGGAACAAAAGTTTCTGGATAGCTTTTGAATTACTATGATAAATCCACAGATCTGACTGGGAAAATTATTTCTCGAAGAATGTATAACTTATAAGTAGGTATTAAATCCTCTTCAGCATACTGGAAGGAGAAGTAGTTCAACAAATAAAGGAGAGATAAATTGGTGGATATGAAGACTTCACCTAACAAATTATTTTTCCCTTGCACCCAACCGAGTCTTAACTTCTATTCCCTTAAACAGCTATCATTTCAGAAAGAAAGAAAAAATTCAAAAATACAGTGGCAACCCCCTTGTTTTCACAAAATGATCACAAAGTATTTTGCCGTGAAAGCAAAATTACCTTGTGATTCACTTTTTTTGCAGGCAGAATCCTGGATCTTCGTCTCTAACGCTTTAAGCAGAAGCAAGCTTAAGGATCTGAAGATCACTACATCCAAGTTACTCTTCGCAGGTTCTTGAGGTTCAATTGGGCTACCATCAAAATGGCGGGCGTTTCCACTAACACACAACCTGCCCAGCCAATCAGAATTCACAAAATGTAGCACGGTATCAGCCAATGCTAATCGATCCTTGTCCAAATGAGGGTCGTGGGAAGAGGAAGGAAGCACCTTTGTCTTGATCAGGTCTTCAGCGGCTTTGTGAAGTATGCAGTTTTTAAGCAACGCGATCGATTTTTTCTTGATGAAACCACGAACTGGAGATGAGGCAAGGCAGCCGATATTGCAGCAGTTCAAAAACAATACCCTTTGGCATCCGAGGTTGAGTGGCACCTGAATCCTGGAGGCTACAAGCAGCTCAAAGAGATCTAGAAAGCTATTCAAGTTATTTGTTGATTTTGCAGATAGTGGAACATTGTGAGCAGATGAATAACAAGAAAGGATGGAACTGTAGAAGTTTTCCAGCACGTTGTTAAGTGGAGTAAGAAGGTTTTTCAGGTTACCTATAACAACAACAACACCAGCATCAACCAGGGCTTAAATATGATAGAGAGGCCTTAACTAAATTATTAGTCAAAATTAGAACTTTTTCTCATTAAAAACCTATTTCTTCCATGAAAATTTACAAGGCAAGCAATATATCCATAACAATATGAACATATCAATAGTTTCACGAAGAGTAACTGTACATTGATTTTCTATTAGCTACTTGCAACGTAAAGCCAATTGAAACAGTACCTTCTTTGCAAGTGTTGTCATCATTCAAAATTTCTTTTATTATTTTGGCCAAAGTCCAGAGGCATTCCGCTATTGAAGTATTACTGGGAAATCCTGATAAAGTCTCTAAACAAAAAGTAAGCCAGGCACTATTTAATGAATTCTGGGGAAAAAGAGAGAATGCACGTTACTCTGAGTTACACTGAACAAATGATGACTTCTTGGATATCTGTCTGAAGGATAACCTTTAACCCTTCTCCAAATATCAAAACAAGGGAGAAGCATGAAAAAGGCAACTATTTCAAAAGGTTCAAAAATAGAAGCTTCAGTCCTAAGGAAGGTTCAACTCTGCTCTCAGGCCAGTGGTGCGATTTGCCAGTTCTCCGAAATGTGCAGAATCGTAACAACCAGTTCTATAGAACTGGTCTGAACCAGTAGAATCCCACCCCTGGTTACAGCCCTCTCTAAGTGGTTTACAGAGTCAGCATCTTGCCCCCAACAATCTGGCTCCTCATTTGACTGACCTCGGAAGGATGAAAGGCTGAGTCAAACAGTAGGCTAAATCAGGGGTCTCCAACCTTGGCCACTTTAAGACTTGTGGACTTCAACTCCCAGAATTCCTCAGCCAGCTTTGGTTGAGGTTGGAGACCCCTATGCGAAATGGTGTAGGATGGTTTTACTAGAAACTGACAGCACACAGTTAGGTTCACATGTCTCATTAACCTATAAGGTTGACCTTTGGCTTCGTATGGTAAGCAGTTTTTGTAATTACAGCTTACCATCTAGTACATTGTGCAAATCCCGCCAAAGGTGATTTAGTTAAAATAGCATTGTTAGCAGGATGGGTGAAATCTCTATCTTTCTTTCCATCCTTCTGAAAAACTGGAAACTAGCATCCCCTCCAACCTGCTCACATGGAAATATGAGCAATGAGGGTAGTTTTTGACTTACAACCACAATGGAGCTCAACATTATTATTTTTTGAACAAATTTTTATTAATTTTTAAAAACATACAAAACATACAAAAATACAAGACATAAAAACATAAAAGATCTCTTTTCTGAAAGATGCTTAATCCCAGGTCAAAACTCTTGGTACAGACACACATTCAAATTCATATTCATTTTACATACCATTCCATATCTTATTACATTTTCATTTTTCTATATAGCTTCTCCTTTCTTTTAAATTTTCTCAATTTTATTTTATTTATCTCCTCTCAATTCAAATCATAATATTTATTATTCTTTGTCTGTTCTATTTCCAACTATCTGTTTATCTTTCTTCTTAAAAGAAAAAAAAGAAAAACCTTCTCCTGTACACTGATTGGGGTATGACACCTATGTCTCTTTCCCCTATATTTATAATACTTGATTTAAAGTACATAACTTACGTTGGGATTCTGTCTGGTACATTCTGACATTATACAATATCATCAAAACCAATACAAATCTATTCATTAATATTAATATTCATTCATATCTTAAACATCTAGCACATTTCTTATCAATTAGGTCACATATTTCTATGGGAGCTCCTATTTGCCATATTAATTCCGCCCCACACATCACATATTATAAATCATTATTACATTACATGTTCCCCTCCTTCTTCAAACCTCTCATTTCACGAATAGTTTCACTAGTATAACATGGCCTAATCATTGGTATTAACAATCATTTATATCTTTAGACATTTTACCCATTTCAATTAATTATCATACCTTTATGGGAACACTTCTTATACTTTCCAAAATTATTCCCCCCCCCCCATCACCGATCTTAAATCATTATTTCATTAAAGTACTCCCCTCTCTTAACAAAAATTTCACTGAATTATACTAAATATTTTATCACATTTTAAATTGCATATTATTTCCAGTCTTCTATAATTATTTCTAAATACAAATATAAAAATGCAATCTTATGTACCCTTCTAGAATCCCTTTTCCAATAAAATCTATCCATTATTTCTAAAAAACTTTTGTTTTTTTGCATCTTGCTCCCCACCATTAAAGCTTCTCATCCCTTCCTTTCTCCCTTGCTTCTTCTTCTCCTTATCCTCTTTACCCCCTTGTCTCTCCACCTCCCTTTTATTCTGTTTTCCCCCTTTCTGTTGTTTCCTAACACGATATCCCCTTTTCACCTTATTCTTCTCTTTTTGGATTGTTTTCCCAGGTCTTAAAGTCTTCTTCTCCTTTTTCTCCTCCTTCTTTTCTTCCCCAACCAAAGTCACTTGTTCTTCAAAAATGGCTTCTTCTTTATCCTGCTCATACGATTTTACATAAGCACAGACCGCCATTTCTATAAACTGAAAAAGAGTGCCAAAGACATCTTTCCCTTCTTGCTTTTCTCTTTCATATTTTTGGTGTATAAGTTCTAGTTCATCCACAACTGATGCCATTGTACAGAGAATTTTTTTTTTCAAAACAACCACCCGAGTGCTTTTAGTCTGAGATAATTCTCATAAAATCCAAAGTCATCAAACAGTCCAATCAGCTGATTCTTTTTAATACTTTCTCTTTTTTCACTTTCTCTTTTTGGGATAAAGTTTGATCACAAAGTTCTCTTTAAAGTATATCTTTAGGAAGTCTTATTGCTGTTTAATAACTCTTTAAAATTAGCTCTTTAAAGTTTTAGGCAGTCTTCTCCTTATTTTCAGGTTGCTCCAATTTTTTTTTTTCCTCTCCCTTCCCACTCACAGCCAAAAAAAAATTATTCTTTTTTTTTCCCCTTTGAATATTCAGAAATCCTTGCTCCTTCAATATTCATTTACCTCCAGAACAGATTCCCTGATTTCTCTTATGGTTCCATTGCTGTCACGTTAGGAAGGAGAGTGAAAGGCAAAAAAAGAAAAAACTTTCTCTTTTGAAATGTTCGCCGCTTGTATCTCTTTCTAGAAACAAAGTATCCTTAGCAGCCTTCGAGGTTACAGGAACTCTCTCTCTTAACTTTATCCCAGTCAGAAGCAACTTCCACAGCTCTTCCCTCTTCCTCCAGCACAAATCTTACCCGGCTGCAGGCTTCTTTGAGGCGGCCATTACTGACCGCCGCTCCACCACCTCAGGAAAAAGGGGTTATTCCGGCTGGAAAGGGGGTCTGCGTTACCCCCAAACCTCTGTCCGGATCCCCTCTCTCTTCGGCTGCCTCTACAAGGCAGCCATAGCCCCCAGACCTATTTAGATCGGGGGCACCTTGGCGGCGAGCGCGGCAGGGATCGCAGAGACGCGAATTCCTGCCGCTACCGAAGCCGCGCAAAACCGGAAGCAATGGAGCTCAACATTTTTGTTGCTAAGCAAGGCAAGTTGTTCAATGAATTTTTGCCCCCTTTGATGACCTTTCCTGCCACAGGTGTTAAGTGAATCTCCGCAATAAAGTTAGCCCCACGGTTGTTAAGTGAATCTGGCTTCCCCATTGACTTTGTCAGAAAGTCGCAAAAGGGAATCAACATGACGCCCGGGACACAGCAATCATCATAACTATGAGTCAGTTGCCAAGCATCTGAATTTTGATCACGGGACCATGAGGATGCTTCAACAGTTGTAAGTGTGGAAAAAAAAACTGCTGGTGACCTTCTACCGCTGCACCATAGAGAGCATTTTAACATACTGTACCTCTGAGAGTTCTGGTTTGCAGCGCTTCGGTGGCAGGCAGGAATCCATGATCGTGCACGGTTTCTGCCTGCGCTCGCCGCTGGAGTGCCCCGAGCCAGCCGGCTTCGGGGCTAAGCCACTCCGTAGAGGTGGTGAAGACAGGGGAGACCTGGTAGGGTCGAGGGGAGCTGCACCTCTCCTCCTCAGCTGGCTAAACTCCCTTTTCCGAAGGCGGTAAGAGCGGCGGTCAGAAATGGCCGCCTCAAAGAAGCACTCAGCCGGAAAAGAAAGTGCAGGAGGAAGTTAAGAAGTGAAAGTTTTGGCTGACCGGGATAAGAAGCAACAACTAAGGTATCCTGGAATTTAAATTTTTTAAAAAGATACATCGCTCCCAAGGAAGATTCGGAAGCAGCGAATGAAAGTGAAAAGGGAAAGTTTTTTTTTCACTCTCCTTCCTAACGTTGACAGCGAACAGAAATGAATGAGAAATCGGAAAAACCCGCTTTGGCATCAACAGGTAATTAAACTGGATAATTAAATGTCAAGGGGATAATAAGGATTTCTGAACATTAAAAAAAAACCTTTTTTTCTTGTTGTAAGTGGGAAGGGAGAGGAAAAGAATAACAGCAGGATTCGGAAGGAGGAGACTGCCTAGAATTTAAAAGAATCTGTTTAAATCCTAACAAGGCTTCTAAAAGATACATTTTAACTGGAATTTTGTAACTAAACAGTAACCCCAGGAAGAGAAAGTGAAAAAAGAAGAAGGTGTCAAAAGAAACAGCTTGTGTGTATCTGGATTGCTTGGTGACTTTTGGACTTTTGGAAATTATATTTGAATGACTAAAAACACTTGGGTGGTTGTTTGAAAAAAAATTTTTTTTACAATGGCATCACTTGTGGATGAACTGAAAATGGAATTTTAAAAATACAAAGAAGAGGAACAAGAAGGGAAGGGCTCTCTTGGCTCTCTTTTTCAATTCTTAGAAATGGCGATCTGTACCTACGAGAAACTACAAGAAAGAACTGCACAACAAGAGGATTGGGACAAAGAAGAAGCCATCTTTAACGAACAAGTAACTTTACTTGGGGAAGAAAGGGGAAAGGAGGAAAAGAAAATGGAGACTTTAAGATCTAAAAAACAACAAACAAAAAAGGGAAAAATAAGGTGAAAAGTGGATATAATGTTAGAAAGCAACAGAAAGGGGGAATACAGAAATGGAGGTGGAGAGACAAGGGGGTAAAAAGGGCAGAGAGAAGAAGCAAAGGAGGAAGGAAGGGAAGAGAAACTTCAAAGGTGTGGAGCAAGATGTAAAGAAACAGGACTTATTTAGAGCTAATAGGTAAAAACTTAACTGAAAAAGTGATTCTGCAAAGGTACATAAGATTTCTAATATTTGTATTAGAAATTATGTTAGAAAATTGAAAATAACATATGATTAAAAAGTGGGATAAAATATTCAGTGTAATTCAGTGAAACTTTTGTAAACAAAAGAAAGGAAATGAAATAAATGAGAGAATTGAATTAGGAAGGAATGGGAAAATTTTAATGACAATGTTTTAAAATACAAGT